CGCTGGCGAAATATAGACATAGATCAAATTCTTAGACTCGGCAACAATACTTACGAACAAGTTATAACGTGGATCAAACTAGGTCGACCGGAAATAAAAGAAGAGGAAGAGAAAAAAGAGAAAGAGAAGGAGGAAGAGGAGGAAGAAGAAGAGGAAGAAGAGGAAGAGGAGGTGATGGAAGAGGAACATAATAAAATGCCAAAATGGAAACGTAAATAAATTATTAATTTGAATATTTTTTTTATTTCAATAATTAATATAGTATTATTTTTTGTTAAATATATAAGAGAAATTTGTATATATATTATAATTCTATAAAATACTTTCTTCCCATCATTATTAGATTTTAAGCATTATCATTTCCCAGTTATAAATAATTTAAATTTTACATGTGAGAAATAATTAAAATGAGCATGGAGGATCTTTGTTTTTTTTTTAAATTAGAGTAATATCCTTCTTAATTGAATTCACTAAAAAAATTTAAAATATATAGAAAATTAAAAATTTTTTAAATATATGTAATAAATACAATAGCCTTCCATTTTTGCGAAATTATTAATTTTCATAAACAGGTGTTAAAGAGTTAAAAGGCTCACATATGGAACTTCAAGCGAGAAGATCCATTCAACAGACAGAGAGGGAGATTAAGCATGTGGATAGTAGACAACCTAAAAGAGAAGAAAAAGTTTATAACTTCAGTAAGAATACATCAAACATAGATGATATAATCACGTACAAAGAAAACAATTCTACAGAATCCCAGGTTGGCAAAGAATTTTACGATTAGAGTATATATGTTCCTGTAAAATAACTTTTGGAAACATATCTGTTCTTTTCTTCTTCGAGCTAAAACATTACTATTTCCTCGACGTTTATGTTTGTATCATAAATATGAGATGTATAATTCGCAGTTTTTAAATATTACAATATGATAATCGCATCAATATCATATATATAGAAAAATTATAATCTTTATTCTCTCTCTCTCTCTCTCTCTCTCTCTCTCTCTCTCTCTCTCTCTCTAATTTATTTTTAATTCAATTATTTTCACTTTTGTTTATTATAGATAAAATTTCGATTTAAAATGCCATAACTTTATACAATTGATAATATATCATATAAATTGTTTTTATTAATATTGAGACATTAAACTTCTATAAGGCTGACTCATATAGCATATACATCCATGTTGAATTAATTGAAGAAACAGAGCATAGAGATTGTTTTATAAAATATATCATAAAATTTATTTAAAAACACACTGACAATAAAGATAATAAAAAAAAAACATCGTGACGATATACATAACAAAGCATAATAATTAATATATTTCTATCTTGTGAAAAGACATAGATGTATCAAGTAATAATAACTGTTTTTTTTTTTTTATAAAATGATTTATTCGAAACATTCACACAAGAAAACAATATAGTTTTGATACATAGATAAGATTATTTTATTTAATTTTGAAATATTTTTATTTTTATTTGCTAAAGAAGTCACATTCTTTGCATAAACTTAAAGAAGACCATTTCCTATCTTTACGTTTTATAATTAATATATACATTCTCTTTTCGTTTTTAAAGTGTGTGTTATTTAAAAAATTATAAACCATTACATGCGATACGCATGAGATGGTTTCGATAATCGATAAAATATTTTATATGTTATGCTATGCTTATGTTATGCTAGAACTGCATAGGTATAATGCGTGCCGTTTCAATTGTTTTGTCACTCGAAACAAAATATATATTCTACGGTGTAAAAATAATTTTGAGATAATAAAGCAAAATTTAACTTAGGATTTTTTGGAAATATAGGCAAACTACTAATTGTGGATCGAGATGAATCAGTCGTTGAAATATTAATCTTTACATTTTGGGTGTAACTTCACATCAATGTATACCTACGAACGTGATGTATCATAAGATAATAAATGTGAGATCTAAAAAATAATGTTTAAAAAATAGCATCTTGTGGAAAAGATGGACATGGAAATTCGTGCAACCGCGGCGTATCATGATTCAATATTTATGCTTATGTCTGTGTTTACGTGGAGAAGGGGAAGGCGGACTACAAGCTCTATGTTTAGAGGAAGTACGTGGAGGCGGCGGAGGCGATAAAGAGGGTGATCTACGCCTTTTCCTATCACGCTCATTAGCGGGCGATCTGCGTGATCCTCTGCCTGAAGAAAAGGAAGGCGATGGCGTACGTCGAATACGGGGAGGGGACGGGGTAACTGGTACGCGTTTTTTATACGGAGATCTTGATCTGCGTTTGCAGCGCGGCGATCTACTGCGTGATCTAAAAATATATTACGAGTATAAATAAATGACAAAGCGCAATTATTCCACAAATGTAATGCATTGAAAAAAATTGCTTTCACAGTGCTTTCTAAGTTCCATGTAGGCTATATAAGAATATCAGTTAAAAATTGCGTCAGAGGGGATATCTCTAGATTGAATATTGATTTCGAAATTGCGTCAGACACTACAATAAATTCTGTACAACAAAGACATATTGAGATACGAACGAAAAATATAAAAATCTGGAACAAAATCTTTACCTATATCTTGTAATTTTTGCTGATGGACTTGACGATCGTCTTCGATCTCTGTAGCTGTGACTAGGAGATTCCGGTGTCGTACTTCGGCTTCGTTTCTTCTCTCTTCGTTTCTCATCATCTCGTTCTTCGCTTTTTACGTCCTTCATTTCTCTTTCGCTCTATAGAAATTTTTACGTACACATGCGTATATGTAGTATACTTGTTATATCGGAAGAGAGAGAGGAGTAAAAGAAATATATTTTCTACCTTTCTTATAAGTTTTTTCCTATAATGTTCTACTTGTGCCTGTATCGTCATACCAGACTTTAATGTCCTTCTACCACTTTCCAATTCATCTTGATACTGCATGATTTTTACCTCAATCTCACGTAATCTGTTTCGCCTTTCTTCATTGTAATCTCTACCACTGCGTTAAAGTATTTTTACAAATGTATTTTAGCCTATTATACGTATTATAAAAAGATACAACATCAACAATTATCACACAAAACACATTCTACCTGGAATCCATACTAGTATCTTGAGAATTAGAATCTTCATTTTGACCTAATTCTTCCCATTTACTGGTAGTCATTGCCTGTGCCTCGACCTGATGAAAAAATTGCGTGTAAATATGAGAATAAGAAGATATCGTCAATTACTGAATTTACTGAGACGAAAACATTTTGAAACCTGATCAGGATCGACAGTTTCCCATCGCGAAGGAACGAATCCAGCCGGCATTGTCGATTTTTTTTCATCATCCTTGGTTCGCGCATTTACGCTGTCGTCGTCATCCATCGGGACGCCATCGATATCTTCATCCACTACGGCAATTATATACATATACTTAGACACACACGTATACACATATATACATACATGCACGCATGCATGCGTGCGTGCGTGCGTGCGTGCGTGCGTGCATGCATGTATGTATGTATGACTGTGTATAAGATTGTTAATTATTAATATATGCAACTATATTAATGTGTTTATTTCAGAAACGCATATGTACTGGGCACTCCGTCAATATCGTCGTAATTTGAAGTTGTTTGAGATGTGAGACCATGTTTCATGGCACCTTTCAACAAGGTTGCACCATCAAGTGGTACTCCATCCAAATCTTCAGCACCATCGCCATCAACATCGGACAATGGCGCACCGTCGATATCTTCATCATTTTCAGGTTCGGGTTCATCCATCTCAAAAAGAAATTACGAGTATATTATATCACATAAAGTCTAATCCACAGAATACTATTACTACAAAATAAAAATTTACCAAAACAAGTCCCAGAAAAGTATTCTGTAACTTAACTAGAAAATCTCTTGGATACACTGCCCAGTCTTCCCATGCTCTGAACATTCGCATAACGCGAACTTTGAATCCTTCTGCCTTTAATCTACTGTCAAACTGCTTATACGCTTGGTGAACTTCACTAAAAATATCCAAAAGACGTGTTTCAAATCTGTAATAAAATAAATAAATATAAAATCGACATTATATGAATTTTGCCTCAATGCGCACTTTTTTCTTTTAAATGAAAGAAAAAAAAAAAAAAAAAAAAAGAGAAACGAAGAGAAAACATGTGTAAATACACATATATCAACACTCGCACGCACGCACGCATCCGCTTGCGCACATGTATGGATATGTGTATACATATAACTTACGCTTTCCTGTAAATAGTAGCATTAGTCACTTTGACTCCGCAGTTATGTAATATGTCAGATATTAAATACAGTCTTGCAATTTTTTTATTTACAGGAGTTTGTAGTATTGACAATGACTCTGAAATACAATCACAAATCTCTTCTGCTGCTTCTGCATGCTCTATACAAAACACCATTGCTTCTGCAACTTTTATTCTTTCAGGTGATATGTTTCGCAATAAATCTTCTAAGCGATCCCGTTGACTAGAAAGAAGAAACAGAACATTTTTAAAGATTTATTAACATACACATTTTTCACAAAGTACTAAAACTTGATCATAGATAATGTAAGTCAATTTGAGATATCCTCATCTCGATGAATAATTTCTTACTATTCTTTGCTGTTACCTGTTTGAGAGACTTCCTCTCCTGGGTTCTTGTCTTTCTTCCATTTCTATTAATTCGTCTGGCATACCTTGAGTCCAAGGATTAATTGGTGGTGGTCTCCATACACTTCCGCTTTTAAACATTCTAAAATCTTCCGTGCGCCATTCTTTCTGCATATCTCCTTGTAGAATCGAATATAATTTCCAGCGGTAATAAGTATGTGCAGGAGAATAATTTTCAAATAAAAATCTAAATATTAAAAATATTTCTGTTAATTTAACTAGATATAGGTGTAAAAGTATACATACATATATAATAAGATATATACCTGAACATTGGATTATTCAATTCTCTGTTCATAATCATTGCTTCAAACATTGGCCCTTCTCGAATTACAAATTCCACCATTCTATGTATTAACATGACTAAATTCCTATAACGCACGACTCGATTAAGTATGCATTTGTATTTTGTGTCAATGCCCATTGACACAAAATATTTCATTCAACAGAAGCATAAATATTCTTCATAGTTATATACTTACAGATCTGTCATTATAATATTAAAATTAACGAATACCTTTCTGTTGGTATAACCACTTTGACAACAGCATTCTGCAAAACCTTATAGTCCAAATCATAGTGCAACAATGATAGATGACAGGTTGTCCCAATCCAAAAGGTACCCAACGATATCCCAAAAATGGTCACCATTAAATTACCACAACGTAATTTGCAATATAATTACAATTATCAGAGACGGAGATTTTTGATTTTTCTGGGTGTGGAATTTCTCATCCAAACGAAAGTCTGGACTGTTTTTTGTCAAATCACTTACAATTTTTTTGTTTTTGACAAATTTATCAAAAATTAAAATATTTTTTTTAATACTCCGAATTTTTTGTGAGTTTCACACCCACGGATGTGAAAAGCTCCATATCCTCCATAAGGAAGTCTCCGACTCTCAGAATTGTTTTACATGATGATTAATAAGATTATTCACATATGTTATAAATTAAAAATATTCTTTTTTTTACTTCAATCAGTAACATCGTTAGAAATATATAACATGCTTGCATCTTGCAAACAACTTACCATTATATTTTAATTTTAAAGAAAATATGATCGTTTGTTTGTGTGTGTGTGTGTGTGCGTGTCTGTGAGAGAACTGATTTATCTAATTCATAATAAATATCTAATTCAAGCTATTAAACGTTGAATGGTTTATAGAGGTACAGTTTTACCTTTTCAAAGTTTTCCTTTTCTTGCGGGTCCGCGCTCTGGAGGTTGCGGATACGTGGTATCTGAGATTATGTTTCAAAACTGATTAAACCATTCCATAACGTCAAATTAACAAAAGAGTTACTTGTACTCTTTTGTACAAATGTATTATCATGTTCTTTCCGCGATCATCTCATTTCATGCTTTTGCGATTGTTATAAAATTTATTTATTAAATATATATCCTATACTATACTATGCGATATAATAATATACTATCAAGTTAAATAAAATTAATTCAACCTAAAAATGCTGCATTAATGATTAAACGAAAAATATAAATATTTTTGTCAAGTTTTATTCAACATGTGTATCACGTTCATGAAACCCTAAATGCTAGCTACTTCTAGCAAAAAATACCTTTTTATAATTTTAAGACAACGATTAACACATGTAAAAAACTATGTATATATATTATATATACACAAATAATTAATAAATATTCAGAACGTGATTATTCACAAGGGTAATATTAAGTAAAAAGAAAACAAAATTGTTTAGATATGTAGTTGAACAGTTTATTAATTGCGTACTTCAAATAGTTTATTTCATGTACCTTGTGTCTGTCGCGTCGATGTGGCTGAGCATTAAATGGAAGACCAGATGGAGGTGGTGGCTGCGTAATCTCCATTAAAGCAGGTGGAATATAAATAGGATAAGGTGGAATTGGTACGCTTTTGCCCCAGCCTAACTTCATCTCATATTGCATTATGTCACGACCTACCACATCATATTAAAAAAATACGTTAATATTATTATTTTCATTGCATAAACAGATTGCAAACTAAAGTTACAAATATAATAAACATATTAAAAACACTGTACACATAAATTAAATGAACAAAATACATAAATTTATATATATATATATATATATATATATATATATATATAAAAACAAAAATTATTTCATCTTTGTTCAATCTCTCATGTTCATTTATATGTATAAAATACAACAAAAAAAAAAAAAAACGTAATAGAACTAGTAATTTCCTATAGTTTTTCTTTATGTTGAATCCAAATCCGGTTGTAGAATTGCTCTTTTACGTCATAATTTTGAAAAGTTTGCAGGTAAAAATATTTCACAAAAAATTCCTTTTAAGAGTTAAAAGTCCTAACAACATACTTAATTTTGATTGCGAGAACACTTCTCTAGCACATTGCATTTCGAAGTTATAATATGACAAAATATGTAAAACAACCTTTTGAAATTTTACCTGCAAATTTCTCAAAATTATAACGTTGATAGAGCAAATCTACAATTCTACAAATACCGAATTCGGATTCAGCGTCCAAAAAACTAAGGGAAATGACTTTTTTTGATATGGTGTTAGTTTGAAGAAAATATTTTTGTTAAACAGTATAATGTATATATAATACATCTAAAAATACTATTGATAAATTCTCACCATTAAGATTTTTCAGTGCACGCTCTCCGTCCTTACGACTCATGAATGCAACAAAACCACAATTTCTTTGTCTGGCTTTCTCTTCATCACTACGCGGCCACATTATTTTTATACTAGCTAACGGACCATATTTACCGAATATCTCCATTAATTGCTGTTCGGTGATCTATAAAGATAAAAGAAGATCAATGTTGCATCAATTGTGCATTGCAATGGTATAGGTATATATAAAATAGCAATAACGTTATACAAATTGATATTAGTGTGGTAAAATAATAGTTTACCTTTGGATTTAAATTTCCTAGGTACAAGTTTGTGGTATTTGGATCACCATTGTCAAATGAACCATCTGTAAAACAAAAAGCTTTCAACATATCTTGTAATTATAAGATAAATAAAGGTGATAAGAGGAAAAAGATACAGGAAGGACAATGGTTACCCTCGTATATCAGGGCTAAGAGACGGGGATCATCAATGAAGTTATGCAGATTAGCCTTTCGCGGATCCGGAAATGAGGATCTACTACCTACTAAAGTTATAAGTATGCTACAGATTTAAATACTATTGTGATAAAAATATACCGTCATATCTTTTTACAAAATCAACAATAATTAGACAACAGTGATTATATGTTTAATAATTGACTATATGAATATATATCAAGTCATAAAATAATTTGATTGATATATTATATGAAAAATGTCATACACAACTACAAACACACATATATGTATGTATACCTTCCACACATTTTAAAGCAGCCAACATTGGATCTTCAGATTGTGCAGATATTACAGTTTTTACCACACCCTTATATTTGTGTCTCTCTTCACGTTCCTCTTGTATCATCTTCAGTTCCTCTTTGAATAATTCAAGGTTGCTCTTCTTTTTTTCACCTTCTTTCTTCTTTTTACCTAGCCTATCTAATTTTCGTTCATTTGTTCCAAGTAATCTTGCATATTCTTGAGCTTGTTCAGCCGATGATCTGTTATCAACTAGTTCCGAGATTTTTGACTGTGGCTTATAAAGCTTTCCTTTTTCTCTTGTGTCCTCCTCTATGAAAGAAATAGAATTAATTTGTAAAAAGAGAGTATACTTTAAACGCATATAAATTCTATACTTACGTCTTTTTCCTGCATCATAAGTTCCTGCCTTGACCCAAACCTTACTAGTCGTTTTACTGGGCGTCTCTTGAAACGTCGCTACAAATTCTTCAAATGCCTACACGTAACACACGTAATTATTTATATATATAAAATATATATATAAAATATCCGACAAATGAAGAAAAGAATGGTTATATAACGTATAACCGCGCAGCACTATTTACCTGCGCTGCAGCTTGCTCCTGTTCCTTTTTACGTTGCTCTTCCAATTCTTTTTTACTCAATGGCCGTTTACCCATTGTACCAATGGAAAAAGCCTTAAGCTTTTGCTCCGCAATTTGCTGTAAATACAAAGTTACAAAGAATTTAAGAATACGCAAAAATAAATATACGTATAAATAATAAAAACGTTCCAACGTATCAAGCAATACCTTCATCATAGCCTTATCCGCCATTTGTAAAGAAATGGTCTAACCTAAAAAAAAAGAAAAAAGGAAATTACATAAATTGTCGACACAAATTAAATCATGAGAAGGATAAACAATTTACAAAGATAGAAACGAGTAATACGTACGAATAAAACGTTATAAATATCCGTTAAAAAATTTCGAATCCATTCAACGAAAAATGTGTGTACAATGTTAAACGATAGCGTAAACAGTAATAAAATTCGAAATGGAGAAAATAATTGGATGGAATAGTACGTATGTTGTTGCGGCTGGATGAGATTACGATAGCAGTCGATTTGTAAAATTCTATCACGATATCAGACAATTGTCTGAAAAACGTGCACTTCACACACGGAAAAATAATATAACATTATCAGCGATTGAGCAAGCAATTCCAATGTCCCTTTTTCTCGAGAGGAGGGAGGAGGAATTTCAAAGCGACACCTGGCGAATTGGCGATGACACACAACACCAACCCAGTTCAGCCTTTGAGTATATAATACATGGAGGTGGAATGTGCCTTTGTTCTTTGGCTGCGTTTGGCTGGTTTGGCGCTTGCTAGAATCCCTTTAGGGGATTACTCTCTAGAGGAGAATTATGGAGAATTCATTTTTCAGCCAACCGCAGCTGATCGCGACACGCGACGCGACGTCACATGTGCGTCTATTCATTTAATTCGTGCTTGTCAAGTAGCCTCGAAATTGTGTGAAATTGTTGGTGGTTGGCTTGGCGCATCGGCTGATCATACACGAACGACAACGAAAAATGCATGTTCGATGTTAAGGGATGATGATGATGGTGATGATGAATTGACTCGCGTGCAAACGTCGATGCTTCCAAATGAGGTTAATAACGGCTCGATAGATCTACGCCGATGGATATTCAAGTTATTAGGTATATCGAATAATACAACGCTCTTAACATTATTGTTGTTACTCCTCGAAGGTCCTCTCGTAGACGAGACATTCATCTGACGTGAAAAAGACGCGTCGTGCAACGTCGCACTAACTGACCATCCCACACGATCCAGAGAGAGAGAGAATGTACTGCCTACAGTGGCTGATCCCGGTGCTGTTGATACCGAAACCCGTGAATCCGGCGCTGCTGCAAACTCACGTCATGTTCATGGCACTTTATTTGATCGGGTTCTTCCTGGAGCGCAAGCCCTGCACTATCTGCAGTCTCGTGTTCCTCGCTGCTGTCTTCCTCATCTGCTACAGTGGAATAGGCAATTGTTTACTCTGGAGCACAAATTGTGACACAGTAAGATGCGATAACGGCTAAAATCGCACCAACTGTGTTTAATTCAATAACATTTAGAGAATTATCCCCTTGTCGATTTTTTCCATTGTGCATCCATATGTGTGCGCGCATGAGTGAGTTTTGCCATTCTTCCCTCCTCTCCTCTCCTCTCCTCTCCTCTCCTCTCCACTCTGCTACGGCATAATACACGAAAATGATTTTTCAATCCACTAGCATCTGAACAGTCCACAGTACGAAAACGATAGATTCAGTACAAGTAACTCTTCAAGATTTATCAAGATTAGCTTTTCAGCTATTAAAAATTTCAGTCAATTCACGATGTAATGTTCTATTTGCATGCTGAATTTATGTAGGATCTCAAATCATAAGATTCAAGAAACAAAAATGTAATACGATGTATTATTTGATGAAATTCATACCTAGTTTCTCGTGTTTGTTGTCACAATCGTTAATTGGAGCCACTTCTACATTTCCAAATTGTAGAAACGTAATGCAATTTTCATTTATTATTATATGAAAAATGCACTTGTTACAACAGAATAAAATAGAAGCTTATTACAGGCAATGGGCAATATTCTTTCTATACTTATCCATAGTTTCTAGAGTTCTCTTTTTTGTATACGATTCTAAATGATTATCTTTCCCCCATGTAAAACTTATCAAAATTTTTCCTTACGCTATACGCATTAAAGTATAATTTTGCAGAGTTGCAACCTACGTATTCTGTTCTAAAATTGTTTGCTTCAAACAATGCGTGAAATGATTATTCGATTGATGTCAAATGCAAAAAATATAAAGATGATTTTATTAAACACTTTAAGCACTCGAGCGTTGAACAAGATCCTACGTATTCACACACAACATATACAATGCGTTTACATTGAAGTGATGCACACGACGTACGAAAATCAGAGCATCTTAAAGTTTAACATGTTACTGGTTAGTCAAACCTGAAAATGTAGCAAATTGTTTATCTACATAAAAGTAAATGGAAAATGTCGCACGCGCGGTTGCCTTATGCCAGGCGCAACATAACAGAAATAACGTAGCGTAAATATAAAACTTTAACCAAATGAATGTTACGTAAACTAATATTTCTCAAATCTGATCTAGCTGAAAAATATGACGGGTGAGGCTGAAATTCAATATGAAACGTATTTTTCGTGTATCGCTAATTTTATGTTGTCAGAAATGTTAATTGTGTATTTATTTTTTAATTTGTATGCCTCATAAAAAGAGATTTAAGCGAGATTTAAGAGATTACAAATTCTGTGCTTTAATTTATAATTGTAAATTTACTTGCGATCTTATAAATAGTAATGTAATTATAATATATATAATTAAGCGTAAGTAGAGAGAGGAGAGGAGATGAGAGAGAGAGAGAGTGAGTTACCAATGTAAATATCGATAGTCGTGTGGTAACCAATAATTATCCATATAATAGTTCATGAATATATCTGAAAATTTTTTATATCTAATGTCTCTCTTTGAAAAGTGAAGGTCAATTATCTTCCTGCATATATCATGTAAGCTTATATTATAATGCTTTGGCAAAGTTGCAAATTATACCAATCTTAGAAATATTTATTTAGATTTGAGCTTGACTAGAACTTTGCAACAATAAAAATTGTTCTATATTCCTTGGTATATAAGCACAAATAAAGAATCTGTGATGACTTCGATTGAAAAGTCCCGATTAGACACGATAGATTTATCCGTTCATTAAAACGGATTAGCATTAAAAATTATGCTGTAACTTTCCTACAATACTACTTTCTGTAATCATCGCTTCCATGTAAAATATAAACTGAGAAACTTTACAGATATACAAGAGTTGTGAGAGAAAGTTTATAAATATATTGTCAGTAATAAAGAAACCTCCTAATCAATCAAATTTCTTTCTTTTTTTTGGGTGCATATTTTACATAAAAAATAGAAGTATCATTCATATTATATGTCAAAATAAAAAAATACCAACACATCTGTTTTGTTTCTTAGAGCACAATTTATTTTATTTAAAAAATTTTATTTTATTGAAGAGCTTTTCCACGACCGAAGCCACCGCGGAACTCGAGATCGCCTGTACCTGCACCAACATCGGCTTTTTTGTCACCGGCACCTGGAGGACCACCCGGTCCCCGTCTATATCCCGCACGATCTTCCGTTGGTCTCGAGCCTTCGCTCCTAGCTGCAGCAGGTCTCGGTCTCGTAGTTTCGGATCTCGGTTGTTTCTTAAGTGTGGAGGGCACAATTTCAGGTGGCAGATGTAAGTATCCACGTAGATATTCAATACCGTCGTTTGTAAGGTACCAATAAAAGTGTCTCCATGCAAATTGTTCCTTTACGTAACCTCTAGATTTTAAAGACTAAAAAAATAAATATATGTACACACAAGCACATACACACAAGTTTTCAGCATATACACTTGTGTGTATGCTGAAACCTTAGTCAACATTAATATATAAACTAACAATAATTCATAAGGGATTGTACGCGATATAAGAATATAGTAAACATTTTTTACCTGCATGGCTTTAATGACTTGAAGATTAGGAATATTTTCAAGTTCCGGATGTTTTGATGCATGATAATCTTTCTTTGCTACCATGACTCCTTCTTTAAAAAGATACTCATAGATAGCCACACGATTCTTTTTTGGCATCAACATTCTGTGAACAACAATAATGAAAATAGTCCAATAAATTTTAGTATAATAAAAATTATAACAAAAAGGTTATTTTTTTTTAAGGTTATGTCTCTCGCAATTACAAAATACAGATATCATACGCAAGTATAAATGTTTTATTATAAAAGTTCCAAAGTTTCAAATGTTTCAGAGTTACATTTCGCGTAGTTACAATTATTAATAAGAATAAACAACGGATTTTTATCGAAAAGAATATGATATGAAAACGTATACAGTTAACTCGCAAGTATTCCACATAATAATATAAAAAAATTGGAAATAATTAATATACTTGATTTGGATAAATTATGAATTTTGATGAACTTTCCACTTTGTTGTAATTTTTGCAAACAAGCAGGATTAAAACGGATATTGTAAAAGGTTCAACCTACTTGATGCTCCTAGCGTGTACCTCTTCTCGGAAAGAGCGATTTACACTTTACACGCGGACAATGTCGATTTACGTTACGTCTCGATATCTCGAATCATTCGAGACGAGCGGAAATAAGGGCGACTCCTTGACGGATAAGCGGAAAACAGAAAAGCAGAAGCCAATCAGAACTCCGCACTGGTAGCAAGAAAAGCAAAGAGCAAAACTATTGACATGTTTAGTAAAACTATTGACTACCAACGCGAGTTTTGATTGGCTTCTGTTTTTCTGTCGAGGTGTAAATTCGCCCTTATAAATATGGACTGCGACGGCAAAATGCGCGACATGATAACTGATAACCAATGGACGTGTCATCTTTTTTTAGGAGCTATAAGCTTATTAGTTATATTTCATGTTCTCCGGGCCTAAAGGAGAACACACATTGCGGTGCGTGTGGGAAGACTAAATGCGGAAAGGCAGAAACCAATCAGAAGCTGCACTTAGTTGCACCAAGTGCTACACGAAACTATACTACATTTGTGGACAAATAGAGGCCTATTTTTTATAGTTGAACTGCTGCACTAGTTCAGCTATAAAAAAACAGACCTTAGGTTGCAACACACTTTTTCTTAGTGTGCGTCGTCTGTTGCGTTACGATTAATTGACCAAAATATCCCATTTTATTGCATCATTTGCCGCGCGACGCATCGATTAGGTTAAGCCCGTATTAGACTAAAGATTGAGATTAAGATTAGAATGGAATTTTACCAATTAAAACAAAGTTCACTAAATTTGAGATTAGTTTTCTTTCTTCTAATTGGTTAAATTCCAATTCAATCTCAATCTTTAGTCTGATACGGGCTTTACTCGACATTCTAGAGATAAAATAATCTTTTTTCGTATGAATCCAATTCCAGGATCGCGCGGCAAATTACGCAATAAAATGGGATGTATTGATTGGTCAATTCGGATAACGCGACGCGTGACGCGCTCAGTGGAAACGCATCCTATAGGTCCATCTACAATGAGAGTAGTAAGTCATAAGCCGTAAGAAATTGACCAATCATATTCGAATATGAGAAGAATAATCGACTGTGATTGGTCAATTTCTTACGGCTTACGACTTACTACTCTCATTGTAGACGGACCTTAAGGGTTTTGAACTAATATTTTTTGAGCTTCAAATTTTTAATTTTTTAATTTTTATTTATCTTTATATATACAATTTGCATTTAATTTACTCCCAGCAGCAGTCGGGAGTATATTTTTTTTAAACAAACTTTTTTATAATATAAGCACGTACGCGTGTTAGTTTTATTTGTAAATTTTTACATTTTTCAAATATTTTTATTGGGTTTTATATAATTTCTTGTATTTTAAGTACAAACAATGTAACTTGTTGTTACAGTTCAATTATAAAGAATACGTAGAGCGAGTTCCGAAAATTCTGATACGTATTATTATATATATTATATGCAGCTCTTTTATTACAAGTAACAAAGTCGAATAAAACTTTGGCAATAATTTTTTTGTCTACTTTGAATAAAGTACCTTTTACATAAAATAAATTTAATATAGTTAATAATTAAAAGATATTTTTAAAAATTATTTAAAGAAATAATTTTTGTTTTAAATCATTATAATATTAAGTATTATATTAAAAAATATATTTGCCACATATACAGCCGAGAAACAATATTGCGGTTAATATGATGTAAAATTGATTTAATTTTTATTTTTTTTTATTCTCCTTGGGTAAGTTATAGTTATCCTGACACAATATATTTTACATACACAATTTGAGTTATATTATCATGAATTTTCTTTGCCTTATTTTTAGAATTTCAGTACAATCTCTATCATTGAAATATTGTATTTCTCTTGTATTTCTTCTATCAATAAATATCAAAATTGCAGAGATTAATTTAAAGGTAATTTGGATTTCAAGCAAAAATTTCTATGGTGATTAAAAATCATTTTAATTATACATTCTTAATTGCATCATTGTCAGTCTCTGTACAATTTAAACTCTCATTAGATTTACATTTTACTATTGTATTCTCATTATGAATTTTTAGAGCACAGGACCTTTTTTTATGTTTTGCTCTTGTATCTGGTTTTATACATACTCTATGACCTTTTAAAATTGGCCATTCCTGTTTCTCCTTTAGATATTTCGCTGCTATCTGAATATTTTCCATTTTAGCTATTGCGCTCCTGCACAAATACATATTGTTTTACATGTATGTATGTATGTATGTGTTGTATACACATGACAAAATGCCCTCACAGACATGTATGTACATAATACTATAGCAAAAATGTTAAAAATTTAGTAAATGGGTAGTAAATAAACATGTGCTTACCTAAAATCTTTATTGTAAGGTTTCAATAAAGTAACACGAGTACATCCAGGAAGAGTACTTCTTATTTCATGTGATTTTATACCGTTTACTATATTTGAGATAAATACCCTGTATAAAGTATACAATCAAATATTAATAATGTTGCGAAATAAAACTTTTAATTCAAGTAGAAACGATTCTTACGTTTGCGTTATTTCAACATCTGGTTTGATTTCGGGTATAAAAATCTTCTTTTTCTTCTTGATTTCTTTTTTAAATGCAAGATTATTCAACGATTGAATAACAATTCGCTTGCCATCGATTGTTTTATCCTTTGCAAGTTTATAGTTGTTAATTTTCTCCTCCACAGTAGGAAAAACGACGTGGCACGATCTACTAGACTGTCGTGGTAATTTCACGTGAAAATCACCCACAAATAAGTGTTCAATATCTCTTTTATCCTTTATTATGTGGGAAAAACGTACTTTCAACGTTCGTTCTCTTCGTTTCTTCAACTGAGATAATTTCCGAAACTTGTGCATAACCTAAAAATTACTACGGTTATTCTCTTATAAAAACGAAGATTAAATACTTGAAAAAATTACAAGCTGAGATAAAATAAACATACGTATATGTAATATATAGCTTTTGGAAAAAAATTAAGTTTACGATTTTTATTTATATAGACAACTGTCCTTCTTATGCATTAAAATTAGACACTTCTTTTTGTTCAAGGAGCGTAAGGCCGCGAGCAGCCGCGAGGTGCGAGAGCACAAGTAGCACAACACATAGAGAGTATACATACGCAGAGAGAAGCATGAGAGCGGCCATCCCGGCGTTTTTCGCAACACCGGTAAAAGTTTTGACCTCCCCGTACACTAGCGCCAATTGCTTCTACTTTTGAGGAGATGGAACTACGTATTACATACTACATAGGCTGCGTTCCATTTAACGCTCGC